CTGCCTCCCAAGCAGCTGGGACCACAGGCACCCGCCACAACGCCCGGCTATTTTTTGGTTGCAGCCATCATTGTTGTTTGGTGGGTCCGGGCTGGGGATTCGAACCCGCCACCTTAGGTGTACGTGGCTGGCACCTTAGCTGGTTGAGCTATAGGCGCTGAGCCATTGTGAGTTTTATTGAAAAAAAATTAGAGTGTAAGTGAACTACATAGTTCAAATCCATGTTATTTAATGGGCAACTGTATATATTCCAAACCTTAAAAAAAAAAAAACTTGCAGAAATAATGTTTCTCTATCATTTAAATGCATAATTTTCTTCCCCCCGCCCCCGCCCGCCCTGAGATGGAGTCTCACAGTGTAGCCCTCGGTACAGTGCCGTGGCATCACAGCTCACAGCAACCTCAAACTCTTGGGCTTAAGCAATTCTTCTGCCTCGGCCTCCCAAGTAGCTAGGACTACAGGCACCCGCCATGACATCCAGCTATTTTTTTTTTTTTGGTTGTAGTTGCCATTGTTGTTTGGCAGGCCCCGGCTGGATTCGAACCCACCAGCTCTGGTGTACATGGCTGGCACCAGAGCAGCTAAGCCACAGGCACCGAGCCATAAACGCATAATTTTCTAAAAACAAGAAGATTTTGGCTCATCACCTGTAGTACAGTGGTTACAGCACCGGCCACATGCACTGAGGCTGGTGGGTTCAAATCCAGCCAAAAACAAAAAAAAGCCATTGCATTTTTTTTTATAAAGGCATGGTTTTGTTTTAATTGCATCATGGTATAGTTGGTAAAGTCTGATTAGTCAGATATCAAAATCCATGGGTCAGATAATAGTATTTTATCAATGTTCATTTCCTAATTTTCATGCTTATGCCATGATTATGTGAGAGAATATTCTTTTTTAATTTTTTTTTTATTTTAAGACAGAGTCTCACTATGTCACCCTTGGTAGAGTGCCGTCGTGTCACACAGCTCACAGCAACCTCCAACTCCTGGGCTTGGGCAATTCTCTTGCCTCAGCCGCCCGAGTAGCTGGGACTACAGGCACCCACCACAATGCCTGGCTATTTTTTGTTGCAGTTTGGCTGGGGCCGGGTTTGAACCCACCACCCTCGGTATATAGGGTTGATGTGCCCTGCCCACTGAGCTACAGGCGCCGTCCTGTTTGATATTTCCTTATGATTGAATCCAGGTTGACATTTTAGGTAAGAATATCCAAGAAGTGATTCGACCTATTTGTATCATTTGCTGATAGCATAATTTCATATATAGAAACCCCAAGAGAATTGGCTATAACTTTCCTTTTTGTAAACGACTGGCTATAAACTGCCCGGAAGGAAAGGAATGTCCTAATTCAGATACCGTGTTTCCCCGAAAATAAGACCTACCCTGGCTCGGCGCCTATAGCTCAACCGGCTAGGGCGCCAGCCACGTACACCTAAGGTGGCGGGTTCGAACCCCCAGCCCGGACCCGCCAAACAACAATGACGGCTGCAACCAAAAAACAGCC